CCATTAGTGCAACTTATACCAATGCCTAGCCTGAATACTGGATACCCATTAGTGCAACCTATACCAATGCCTAGCTCTGAATACTGGATACCCATTAGTGCACCCTATACCATTGCCTAGCTCTGAATACTGGATACCCATTAGTGCAGCCTATACCAATGCATTGCTCTGAATACTGGATACCCATTAGTGCAACCTATACCAATGCCTAGCTCTGAATATTGGATACCCATTAGTGCAGCCTATACCAATGCATTGCTCTGAATACTGGATACCCATTAGTGCAACCTATACCAATGCCTAGCCCTGAATACTGGATACCCATTAGTGTACCCTATACCAATGCCTAGCTTCTGAATACTGGATACCCATTAGTGTACCCTATACCAATGACCTAGCCCTGAATACTGGATACCCATTAGTGCAACCTATACCAATGCCTAGCTTTGAATAACTGGAATACCCATTAGTGTACCCTATACCAATGCCTAGCTCTGAATACTGGATACCCATTAGTGTACCCTATACCAATGCCTAGCGCTGAATACTTTATACCCATCAGTGTACCCTATACCAATGCCCAGCTCTGAATACTGGATACCCATTAGTGTACCCTATACCAATGCCTAGCTCTGAATACTGGATACCCATTAGTGCAACCTATAACAATGCCTAGCTCTGAATACTGGATACCCATTAGTGCAACCTATACCAATGCCTAGCTCTGAATACTGGATACCCATTAGTGCACCCTATACCATTGCCTAGCTCTGAATACTGGATACCCATTAGTGCAGCCTATACCAATGCATTGCTCTGAATACTGGATACCCATTAGTGCAACCTATACCAATGCCTAGCTCTGAATATTGGATACCCATTAGTGCAGCCTATACCAATGCCTAGCTCTGAATACTGGATACCCATTAGTGCAGCCTATGCCAATGCATTGCTTTGAATACTGGATACCCAATAGTGCAACCTATACCAATGCCTAGCTTTGAATACTGAATACCCATTAGTGCAGCCTATACCAATGCCTTGCTCTGAATACTGGATACCCATTAGTGTACCCTATACCAATGCCGAGCTCTGAATACTGGATACCCATTAGTGCAACCTATACCAATGCCTAGCTCTGAATACTGGATACCCATTAGTGTAACCTATACCAATGCCTAGCTCTGAATACTGGATACCCATTAGTGTACCCTATACCAATGCCTAGCTCTGAATACTGGATACCCATTAGTGCAACCTATACCAATGCCTAGCTCTGAA